ATTAAGTGTTTGTTAATTAAAGATTCAAAAACCTTGCTTATGATAGGAAGAAGACTAATGGGGCGGTAGTTAGATGAGTCAGATCGCTCTCCAGAATTTTTAAAAATAGGGATAAGAGATGCTGCTTTCCAGCAGGCTGGAAAACAAGACTCTGATAAGCACTTGTTGAATAGTTTTGAAAAGATAGACGACAGCTCAGGAGAACACTTCTGCAAGACTATAACAGGTATGTTGTCCGGGCCACAAAGAGTGTAGAAGAGTCTAAGCAGGAAATCACTTTAGACACAGAAGCTGGAGTGATACGAATGTCGAGCAATGGATCAACCTGTTTGACGGGTATATCAGGTAAAACGCAACTAGTGGCATCAAGAGATGATATTGATGAAAAGTTCTTGGCAAACAATTCAGCTTTGTCTTTAGGTGAGGTGACAAAGTCTGAACCGTACAAAAGAGGTGGAATTACAGACTTGCCCTTATTATTGATACTATTAAAGATTCTCCAGAAGTATCAGGAGCCTAATTTTTGTGATGAAATTCGAGATTCCATGATCTGAGAATAGCGGGCTTTGGCGTTAGACAAAACCTTTTTACAATGGTTCCTAGCAGTAATAAAGAGACGTCTGTTTTCTGGAGAATTGTTTTGCTGATAGACATGGAAGTAATAGTTTCAATTGGCAATTGCAGCAGCACAACGCGAGGAAAACCATGGAGAAGAATGAGGCTTGACCTGGAATCGTCAAGAGGGAATAAAGGATTCAATGCCAGCCTGAATCCACGAAGTTAAGTAAGAAGCACATTTGTCAATAGGAAGACGAAAGATTTCTACCCAAGGGCCATCACAAAGAAAATCACGGAAAGAGTCCCAGTCAGCTTTAAGGTAGTTGTAAAATGTACAATGTATGATGTATGATGATAGGGGGATTCTGATGATAAAGAAAAATGAGATAATAGTTTTAGAGAGACCAAACTATGATCGGATGCACCTAAGTGTGAATGTGGAGAAACTGAGCAATGACTAGGATCAGAAACAAGACATAAGTTGAGTAGAAAAGGTAAATGATTCGGGTTATCTGGAAAGCAAGTTGGAAAGTTGACTATTTGAGTTAGGGATTGAGAAAGGCAAAAGTTGGCCTTAATGCCTGCAGACTCACTGACACTAGAGCCAAGCCATTCAGTGTGATGAACATTAAAGTCACCGACAACAACAATATTGGCTGATGGATAAAGAATGAGGGCTTGGTCAATATAATCAGAAATAACATTAAGAAGAGTGCAGTCTTGAGAAGAGGGAGAGCGATAAATGGGTGAATTCTTACGAATGTAAGTGCCCAGGCCAAGCATGTGACAATTAGAGTCTTTACGAATTAAAGATAACCATCAACACTAAGATCACAAGATGAGACAGCTGAATTCAAATTAGTCTCACAAAGAGCAAGTAGGTCTGGTGAACTTTGCAAGAGATAAGACTCAACAGAAGAAAGGTTACTTCGAAGACCACGAATATTAGTGAATGATAGGTTTAGGGAACTTGGTGATAACTGTGGTTTTTTGTGTTTTATAGTTTTTGTTACTTTATTCATTTTTAAATTTGTTAAAGAACTTGACTTGAAACATAGATAGTACTCAGTACACTGTTTTATAGCCCAAGCAATTGCCTCATTTCTATTAATAAACCCTAAACCGTAACAAAGGGCTCCAATGTGGCCTTGGCAATGCACACCATAAGTACAAACAGGGACACCATCCATGCAGCCTCTCTGAGAGCTACCACAGAGTTCGGGAAACCTGACTACCAGCCGGCCTCAGAACCATAAAACTTAAGGGGTAAACAGATTCTGTTGACCAGCCTTGCAATCCTTCTTCATCTATTAGGTTGGCGCAGATGTATTTTTAATACATTGTTTCCAGTTTAGGATGTTAAACGCTGGATCTTATTGACTCGATGCATGGGTTTTGCTTGTGTCTCTGCTTTTATGACTAGGCAACTCATTCTATTATCTCCAAATGAGGGTACAGCTCTAAAACTCAGTTTTATAAAATTTCATAAGTTAAAGCTAATTGTGTGGTGCAATAAGCTTAAAATATAAATGGCGCTGAAAAAAAAAGTCAAAAAAGAAATTGGGACCGAGTATCAATATCTCTGAAACCGTAAGAATTCTGATACTATAATTTGGAGTGAAGTTTTCTTTCATTAATTTAAGCTTTTAATCCAAAAATCAGCAAAACCTGAGATGGTATGGTGCAGAAAATTTTTTTTTTTAGTTAATTTGACACGGAATGACCCTAATAAAAATAATAATAATATAAATAACCAAAATAGCAATATTTATAATAGTGAGAGTTTGAAATAGAATAGTGATATAAAAATAATATTAATTTGAGAAAAAGTTATGAAAGCGCAAGTATTAGTAATAATAAATTAGCATTGAAATGAAGAAAGAATTTTAAAAAGATCAGGTATTAGTATCTATAAACTTATAATCTATAAATCTATATGTATTTAAGCGAAAAAAATTAATTTATTAAATTTTTTATTATAACTCTAAGTTTCCAAATACACCAGGAGTGCCGCGCAACTGTCATCTACGTAAAATAATTTTGTTACATAAAAAATATTAAAATTAGTATTTTAAATTGTCAAAAAATTTAAATTGATTAATTTTCTGCTGTTTATTTATTGGAGTAAAGAAGCCAAATTAAGAATAAATTTATATATAGTCGAGTGCGGAACATAGTTACCATGACCTTTATTGTACGAGTCCAGGCAGCTTTTTGTTAAATTTGTTTTGCTTTTTAATTTAAAAAAGTGTATCAATACTTTTATTTTATAAAAGTATGGTTTTTGTTTCTTAAAATGGTTTACTTTTTCTCCTTTAAATTATTCTTTCGTATGAATTTATTGGCCTTTTTTGTTTTGTTTTTTTATATATCTGTTGTATTTTTATATATGTATTGAAACCATTTATACTTTAATCACCTTGATGATTATGATAATGATGGTTTCCATTGTACACTTTTTTAGTGCCAATTTTTGTCACAAGCAACAGCTATAATAATTTTAAATTTTGCCAAAGCCGGTATTAAAAACAGCTTAATTGAAAGAGTTTGCTTTAGAAATATTCCAATAAGTTATATCAAATAGAGAGAGCTAACATATTTGACATAACTAGGTTTCGTAAGTCATTTTGTGATTCGTTTTCCTCTTTTTGAATTAAAGTAGCTTATCATAAACAATGAAACTTTTTAAAAATTTATATAGTATATGCATTTTCCAAATTATATCCTGATTTTTTGTCAAATCTTTTCTTTCAAAACTCTGATTTTATATATATATAAATATATATATATATATATATATATATATATATATATATATATATATATATACATATATATATATATATATATATATATATATATATATATATATATATATATATATATATATATATATATATATATGTATATGTATATGTATATGTATATGTATATATATATATATATATATATATATATATATACATATATATATAAATATATATATATATATATATATATATATATATAGTCTTGCATGTCTCTTGCGTAGCATCAAAAAATATTTCCCATAAACTGTAGTTTTAAAGAGCGCGTTAATAAACCAGACCAGAAAAAGTTTTAAAAATTAAATTTTTTTTTTTAATTGATAGACTGCCTGGCCAAACCAAACCCTCAGTCGATGTAGCAGCACTCTCTTGCGAGTCAGGCTATTTGTCAGTCGTTGTAGCAGCACTCCCTTGCGAGTCAGGCTATTTGTCAGTCGATGTAGCAGCATTCCCTTGCGAGTCAGGCTATTTGTCAGTCGATGTAGCAGCACTCCGTTGCGAGTCAGGCTATTTGTCAGTCGATGTAGCAGCACTCCGTTGCGAGTCAGGCTATTTGTCAGTCGATGTAGCAGCACTCCGTTGCGAGTCAAGCTATAAGATAGTCGATGTAGCAACATTTACGCATGTTTAAAAAATGTTTTTTATTAAATCAATAACAAAAACACCACTAATTAAAAAAAACTTTCTAGTCGTTATAATTGCGGTTTTTTAAAAATTTGTTAAAAAACAATTAAATTTAATGTACTTCCGCATAAATTAATTGCTTTGACATTTCGACGACAATCAAAAACAGCTTAAGAGACGAGTAATTAAAATTGTAGTCGTAAGAGACTTTTTTTACATTAAAATGCTCTTAAAGCGACACTATATGAGTATATATATACACATATATATATATATATATATATATATATATATATATATATATATATATATATATATATATATATATATGTATATATATATGTATATGTATATGTATATGTATATGTATATATATATATATATATATATATATATATATATACATATATATATATATATATATATATATATATATATATATATATATATATATATAAATATATATATATATATATATATATATATATATATATATATATTTATATATATATATATATATATATATATATATATATATATGAATATATATATACACACAACCCTTGGAATTAGGTTCCGCATTCACCTAAGCCAACCTAGAAGTGTTTGAAGTCAGCAAAAAAATTGCCATCTTTGTTTCTATGCTTTATGATCAAACCTTTGTTTTACATTTTTTCTGCCGACCTAATGACAACCTCACACAGTGTTTTTATTATGATACAGCCACTAGGGGGATTACCATACAAAAACACCTCTTACCCGAATCACAAATAAATAATTTAATTTTAATAATTTTAAATTTAATTATTTTTAATTATTATTTCTAATTAATATTAAATAGTATTAAAAAAATTATTATAACTACAAAACTCAGTTGTTATATAAATATAATTAACAAAAATAAAACTATTAAACAGTTCTTCATTATTTCTTTTAAGTAATTGGCTTGTTGATGAACTGAGCTTAGAAGAGCTGGTTGGCTCAAAAAACTAATTGTTTTTAAATACTTACAGTATTAAATAATCGAAGTTGAAGCGGAAATGTAACTCTATGCGATAGTTTGGTAAACCTCTGCTGTTGTTCAACGTATTTAAATCTTTTTAAATGCAATGCAAGTATCTGAGGTAATTTCTTCACCATCATTCTTAAAATCAAAAATTTTTCAAACTAAAAAGATGTTTATTAAATGCATTAATGATGAATAATCATATCCAATAAAAATGAGCAATTTTTTGTGAAAACAGTTAGCCATAAATATGTTGAAATTATATTAAATTATGTTGAAATATTGTGAAAACAGTTAGCCATAAATATATATATATATATATATATATATATATATATATATATATATATATATATATATATATATATATATATATATATATATATATAAGGGCAATTTCGCGAGAGTGGCCGTCGTAACATTTGGCACTCTTTAAATTACTAAAAATGAACCAAAAACGGAAATAACTTAAAACTTTCCAGAAATGTGAAATACTATCATATAATTTAGTATGTAAAAGTTGCAGCATTGAAGTGTTCAACTATTTAAAAAAAATAACTCTAAGTGTTGTGAAGGCCGTAACACTTACTTTTTACCACTTCTGAATAAAACGTCAGACTTAATGCAGTAAATGGCAGGGTTAAAAAAAAAATCCTATGGTGTGTGTATTTAGCACATATTGATGTTATTATATGCTGAGTTTCATAGCTTTTACTTAGAGTTTTACAAATTTTTTTTGTTGTTGTGACGGTCGTAACAAAAAATCTCATTCTTAAAAACAACAAATGTAACAACACAATCAATGGTGTAAGAAAACATTAACATTATCAAAGATTTTAATTATGGATATGCGGCACGATTTTTAATACTACACAACAGGACTGTCAATAAGCGTCAAAACACATTTATACAACCTTTACAACTTTAAAACCATGCTATGGTATGATAAAATGATTTTTTTTAATAAATTTTTTGCTTAAAAGTATTTTAAAATAGTTAAAAAATAAGTTTTGGAGTTTAGTATGTTTTTTTTTCCCGCTTTCTCGTGGAATTGCCCATACTTATATATATATATATATATATATATATATATATATATATATATATATATATATATATATATATATATATATATATATATATATATATATATATACATATATATAATATTCAAAAGACACCATGCTGTCAAAATACATATGGGAATTAAAAGATAAAAATATTAATGATTCTATATTGAACTGGTCCATCCTTTGACTGAACTCATAGATTTTTGTGAACAAGCAGGGCTGGACCACAAGCAAGTGATACAGCCCTGCTTATGAATGTAGTTAATAATAATGATAAAATAAACCATGCTGTTTTTTTAAAAATCCAATCAAAGACATTCTCTATTGTTTTTCAAACAACCAATAAAAATAAAATATATAAAAATTTAATATATAAAAAAACAAAAACGTGTAATTTAAATTTAAATTGAAATTCTAATGTAAACATTTATGTTTTTATTTTTTTAGTCAGTTTAGTTTATTATACTTATTTGATTCATATAAAACTAAAACTGAAACTTTTACTTATACTAATTTATTATTAAAAACAGGTTTAAATTTATTATTAAAAACTCCTAAAGAGAACAGCTAAATAAAGAGAAGCAACCTTGGCAGATGCTCATTTAGCAATCGATTGTATATTTCCATGAAAGGTCAGTAGTAAACGATAATCCAAGAAGAGGTCAAGTAGAGGACTCAGTGAGAGGGTTGCCATTTATTAATATAGGAATGTCCACAGTATTGCAATAGTTTGCTGGAGTTTAAATTCATAGGCCACTGCAAGCCCCAATCTGTTACAGAAATGAGATCAGATTCAAGATTCACTGTCATTTTTAAGGGGTCAAAAAGAGAATACATTTTTATACAGAAGACAACTTTATACTCCAGTCAAGACTGGAGTATAAAGTTGAGCCATCAGCAAAAAAAGCTACTTTAGATGTTAAGTTGCTGGGCAGATTTTAATGTAGATAAGAAACAAAACAGGACCAAGGATAGAACCTTGAGGTACCCCAGAAGTTACTGGAAATAAAAAAAAGTGTTGGCCTTTAAGGATGACTTTAATAGAGACGTTAGAAAGAAACAATTTGATAATCTCAAAAACTTTTCCATATACACCATATGAAATAAGCTTATGGAGAAGACCAGCATGCCAAACTTTGTCAAAATCTTAGATATGTCAAGTTAGTAATGGGATCAAAAACCGTATTGATTGTCTGACAATAAATTATTAAACTTGAGAAGGGATGTGAAAAATTTGTTAATCAAAGACTAAAAGACCTTGTTAATAACAAAAAGAAGAGTGATTGAATAATAACTGAAGGGGTCAGAATGTTTGCCATAGTTTTTGAAAATTGGAACAACAGATGCCCTTTTCCAGCAGGCACGAAAACAAGATTAAAACTAATTAATAATTGTATACCAACATATCTTTTTGTTTTAGTCGAAGCTTACCTTCTCCATTTTCTGCCGTATTTGGAGTCTGTAAAATAAACGCCATTTTCCAGGCGCATTATACAGACTTGATAATTTATTCAAGTGTGTTTAATTCATAGAAGTTTTAGTACATGATGTCATTGGAAACATTCTAGAAATTCTTTAAAAACTTTTACTATTAAATTTTACTGAAATAGCTAACTATAATTAGTTATTTTATTTTCTAAAATCTTCACATTGAAAAAAAATTTATATTTTTTTGTAGCTATTAGAGCCGTGACTACATGTGCCACGGCGATGGTGGACTTAGGGACCCCTTTGGCGTCAAATCGAGTTGTATAATATCTCCGATGATTCACAAGTGTGTTCTTTACATTTTAATGCAAGTTGTTTTGACAAATCTAACAAACAATTAATTAAACCAAGCACTAGGAAAAGATATAAAAAATAAGAATATACTAATAAAATATATAATTTATAAATAACTTTCACAATTTTTACAATTTACAAAATATATATTACAAAACATTTATTTTTGTAAACAAATGATAATAGTTTAAAAGATTTATGGCTTTGCAGATGTGGCTCCGAGAATGAGCCATAATATTAAAGTAATAGTTCATTTGATAACATATTCTTAAAAAAATTTATGCTAGATATCTCAAAACACAACAAATCACAAATAATACAATTCCTAAAACATTTCAACAGAACACTCTAGAACTTTATTTTGGTTAGTCAGCGTATTTTTTGAACCAATAAAATTAGTCTGTTCGTAAATTTGGCGGGTTTTTAGTGTTCGCGAATATTCTTTTTATTCTTGCGCAAGATGTTTTAAGAACATTCAAATTAATTATGTTTCCATGTATGTCGGTAAAATAAAAAATAATATATATTTTAATTTTTAAGCCCCTGCCATAATAAATATTAGATGTTATAATAATGGAAATATAAATAATGAAATAAGATCACCTCAATACCAAAAAATACAATTTTGAAAATCAGAAAAAAAATGCATTAATAATTTTTTTTTAATATTTACAAAGTAAATTAATAAAAGTGCATTATTGTTTAGGTTAAAAATTATTTTATCTAATATTTTGAAAGAAAAACTTATAACAAAAGAAAACAAAATACATGTGGTCTAGACGATTATTAAAAAAAATTTGCGCAAATAAAATACTATTTTGTTTTTAATTTTTTTACAAACACATTTTAGAACTTTAAAATATAATAAAAATGAATATAATTTGGAAATTGCATGTAAAAAATAATAATTGGTGTTTTAAACAAACAAAAAAATCTATGATGTCATGTAATAAAACTTCTATGAATTAAACTCACTTGAATAAATTATCAAGTCTGTATAATGCACCTGGAAAATGGTGTTTATTTTACAGACTCCAAATACCACAGAAAATGGAGAAGACAAGCTTTGACTAAAACAACAAGATTTGTTTTTCTTGGTATACATTTATTAATTAGTTTTAATCAAAAAAAATTTGCTCAGAAGTTTTTTTTAACATTCTCTTTAACATGAACACAACGTGTCTCGAGACTTAGTAGTCCCTTTAATGACGCTGATGAAGATTTTCCAAAAGTCTTATTTATATTAAAGTTTAAATCATAATTTATAACAATAATAAAAATATTAATAACAAAATAATAGTAATAATATGGTTTTTTAATGACATTTTATATAATTCTTCAAGATCAATATAAATATTGTTTATTGTATAAAAACTATTGAGTTTGGTGATAAAAACAGAGTTTAAAGTTTTTAAGACCAAAAGCATTTCGAGATATCGCATCTCACTATCACTTAATTTTGTCTTAAAAGTGTCTTAATTCATTTTAAGAACACTGTTCAGCATCAAGTTTAGTCACAGGTGTGACCAAAACAATCTCTATCAACTTTGATACTTCAGAAAATGTTTCAATTGGGTTATTTTCATGTATAACATGGAATATGACATTAATGTGCTGATATAAAGCATTTTCACACAAAATAGTTAATTTGGACATCAATTGAATTTTACTTAGCATTTGATAATTTTTTAAAATACTATTTATATGTATTTTAGCGGAAAATTTTGTCTATTAAAATTGAAATTTTCTGAGTCTATAACTGAAAACTATTTAAATATTTAAACAATTCTCCAGAAAACAGACATCTGTTCACTATCGCCAGAAACCATTGTAAAAAGGTTTTGTCTGACGCCAAAGCTCGCTATTCTCAGGTCATTAAATCTCGTATCTCATCACAAAAATTAGGCTCTCGAGACTTCTGGAGAATCTTTAACAGTATCAATAATAAGGGCAAATCTGTTATTCCTTCTCTCTTGTATGGTTCAGACTTTGTCACCTCACCTAAAGACAAAGCTGAATTGTTTGCTAAGAACTTTTCATCAATATCATCTCTCGATTCCACTAGTTGCGTTTTACCTGACATAGCTGTCAAACAGGTTGATCCCTTGCTTGACATTCGCATCACTTCAGCTTCTGTATCAAAAGTAATTTCCTGCTTAGCCTCTTCAACAGCTTGTGGTCCTGACAACATTCCTGTTGTAGTCTTGCAGAGGTGTTCTTCGGAGCTTTCATCCATACTTTCAAAACTATTTAACAAGTGCTTATCAGAGTCTTGTTTTCCATCATGCTAGAAAGCAGCATCTGTTATCCCTATTTTTAAAATTCTGGAGAGCGATCTGAATCATCTAACTACCGTCCCATTAGTCTTCTTCCTGTCATAAGCAAGGTTTTTGAATCTTTAATCAACAAACATTTAATCTCTCATCTTGAATCAAATAACTTACTTTCTGATCATCAATATGGATTTCGGTCTTCTTGTTCTACAGCTGATGTGCTAACAGTAATAACCGATAGGTTTTACCATGCATTAGATAGAGGTGGAGAGGTTAAGGCTATCGCACTTGACATTTCTAAAGCTTTTGATAAAGTTTGGCATGCTGGTCTTCTCCATAAGCTTTCTTCTTATGGTGTAGCTGGTAACATCTTTAAGATTATTGAGTCCTTTCTTTCCAATCGTAGTATAAAAGTTGTCCTCGATGGACAACACTCTTCTTCACATCCTGTAACTTCAGGGGTTCCTCAAGGTTCAATCCTTGGCCCTATACTCTTTTTAATTTACATTAACGATCTTCCAGATATTCTCACATCTAAGGTGGCATTATTCGCTGACGACACTACCATTTACTCTTGTCATGATAAGAAGCCTACACTCTCTGATTGCTTGGAGGGGGTATCTGAGCTTGAAAAGGATCTCACTTCTGCTACAGCATGGGGCTCACAGTGGCTGGTGAACTTTAATTCAGATAAAACTCAATTTTATTCGGCCAATCGTTATCGTAATAATTTAGATCTTCCTAATTTATGAATGGTAATGTACTAGATGAGTCATCTACCATTCATCTTCTAGGATTAACTCTTACTTCTGATCTTTCATTTAAACCGTATATCAAATCCATTGCAAAATTAGCATCTGCTAAGGTTGCATCTCTTTATCGAGCTCGACACTTTCTTACTCCAGATTGTATTCTCTATCTCTATAAATCTCAAATCCGTCCCTGTATGGAATACTGTTGCCACATCTGGGGCGGATCTTCTAATGATGCTCTTTCTCTTTTAGACAAGGTGCAAAAACGAATTGTAAACATAGTTGGACCTGGTCTGGCAGCCAATCTCCAACCTTTGTCACATCGTCGTAATGTTGCTTCTCTTTCTCTTTTCTACAAATACTATAATGGGCACTGCTCTAAAGAGCTAGCGTCCCTTGTGCCATCTACTAAAATTCATTCTCGTGTTACTCGCCATTCAAAGTCTCATCCTTTTTCTGTGACTGTTCCTAAGTGCTTCAAAAACTCTTATTCTTCTAGTTTTCTTCCTCGAACATCAGTTCTTTGGAATTCGCTTCCTTCATCTTGCTTTCCTGATTCATATAATTTGCAATCTTTTAAGTCATCAGTCAATCGTCATCTTGCTCTACAGATTTAGTCTTTTCTCTTCCAGTAACTTCCAATTCTTATAGTGGTTGCTTGCAGCCTTGTTGGAAGTGAAGATGTTAAAAAAAAAAAAAAAAAAAAAAAAAAAAAAAAATTTAATGCTTCTATCACTAGCACCTTTAGCATCATCTATTAGTAGTTTGATTGACCTGTTTCGTTTCATTCAGTTTTCAGGAATTTCCTTGCAACCATTAAAAATTGAACATTATCAGTGATGCTATTTCATATAAATTTTATAGGTAACTCAAATTTTTTGAAAGCTTGATCGATTGTAATAGTGTTGATGTTACTTGATTGCAATATATTGCAACATGCTGTTACTTGATTGCAGTATATTGTAATAGTGTTGCTGTTACTTGATTGAAATATATTGTACATCAACATGTTTTAAAAAAGAATAAAAAAGAGATAAAAAAAAGTTAAACATTTTTTGAAGCCAATAATGTATTTCATTCTTTATCGTTTATAATTTTTTTAAACATTCCACAAGCTTTGTTTTGTTTTCTTGTAGGCAAGTAACTATTGTTAAACAAAAATTTCATCCTGTTTTGCAAACTCTTGGTATCTATTTAAAACTAATTTTGTGAAGTAAATCACATCGTTTTGACATGGATGTAAAGAACACGCCAAACCCACTTAGTAATTTTTTTCTTTGACACCAAAACAAATTAATTCTTCTTTTAATATGTTTGTAAGACCCATAATATTTCTATCATGAACATCAATAAATGCTATAAATCTTTTAACTGGTTGATAAATTTTTAAATAACGCAAAATAATGACAAACTATGTACGACAAGATACATTAGTTGTTTCATCTGCTTGAAAGGAAAAAAATCTTGCTTTATCAATCTCACATTTAATTTCTTCTATGTATACTTTATACATACAGTCTAAAATGTCATTTTGATTTATTTTCAAAGTATTTTTTGTTATTTTTGAATTTTGATGATGATCGTTAAAAATACTAATGTAGCTGTGTATGAAACCATATCGAAAAATACCCCTCGATTATTTGAGTCAATAGTTGTCATGTCCACTTAAGGACAATTTGTGTACACCACAAAATTCAATCTATGATCCTCGATAATGTCTGTCTGTTTATGTCAACTAATTTATTATGTTTTTTAATGCTTAGACTATATCCAGCATCAATTGTCAATAAAATATTTATTTTTCTGAGCATCTGAAACCGCAAGAATTCAGAGCTGGAGACTCGAGTCAACCGATTCGAACTCGAGTCCGACTTTAGTCACACCAGTGACTCAACTCGAGACTCGACTTGGGTTTTACCCTGAGACTTGCGACTTGACTCAAGACTTGCTAATTTTAACTTAGCTACTTTAAAATTATTAGTTTCCGTCTCTTCAAAAATGGAGCAATTTATCTTCTATTTTAATTCAACTGTTTTTTAACTATTTTTTATTTTCGAATGTTTTTATTTTAACTTACGTTTAACTAGTTTGAAGTATAAGCGAGATCCGAAGAAAAATATCGCATTTAGGCTCTTTCGTTTTCAAAAAATTCCAACTTTTTTGTGTGCGTTCTGATTGGTTTATTTTTTCTTTAACTCATGAAATTTATTGTTTATAAATGTTTGGTGATTTTAATTTCTTATTTAAATTTTTTTAAATTCTTTTTTTTTCTTTTCTTAACAATTTTCATTTTTCTCTTATTTATTTTTACTTTCAAAATTATCTTTGATTATTATTATTTTTTCATGTAATTTATTTATAAAATTCATTATAAAAAAGCGTTGGCCATTCCGGAAGTAAAATTTATTTTACTTTTAAATCTACTTTAGTAAATTAAGTAAAATTATAACTATTATCATGCTGTATTTTATAATGGTAAGGTGACTGTTTGAATGTAGCTACCAGAGCCATCGCAAGGTTCCCTCATGCCCCTCTTGTAAGAGGAACTTCGTGGTTTTTATGACAGGTTTTGGAAGGGGCCTCCGAACTCCTAGCCGCATCACTGATAGCCACCACATGCACAGGAATCTTTTATTGTAATATGACTTGACTTGAGACTTGACTTGACATGTCACTATATGACTTGAGACTTGACCTGAGACTTGACCTCAGTGACTTGAGACTTAAGACTTGCTCCAAAGCGACTTGAAAACAGAACTGCAAGAATTACTTATATATGTTTTACTAGCTTTGTGTTTTTGTATTCGCTCAAAAAGATGCTTCATATCTTTACAGCTATATTCTGTCAACAAGCTCTTGAAAAAAGCTCTTGAAAAAAAAAAAAAAAATTTTTAACTTAACTAAGATTTTTTTTCAAACCTTGCTACACAAAATGTTTGTGCTTTTTTACTATCAACTTATATTAACTTATCTAGTTATACAAACATCTTTTGGTATGAGATTTTTGATTTCCAGTTTTTCATAAAGGTCCAATGACAAGAAATGTTTAGCCAATTTTGTTCATGCTAATTTATCTTAATGATCCTAAGATATTGTAATAAGATAACTTTAAACTGTATTGTAACTAGAATATGACTTTAGCATAATTTAAAAGCGAATTTTAGTAGTTTAGTTGAAAAGGGCTCTTAATCTTAATTAACAATCAATAAAATAATAAGAATGTAACATTACATATACATTGAATTCTCTTATAGGTTCACATAAAGAATTCTGAGAACGGCAGAAGGGTCAACAACAATAAAAAAGATACTTTTACAACATTAAAAGAACTTTTAGATTAATTCATACGCATTAAAAAAATTTTAAACATGAATTTTTTAAAAACACAACATATTTTACTTAATTAAATCTATAACTCTTATATAAACATTTACAACATTTATGTCAGTCATAAATAATAGTAAATGTCACAAGATTATTTATATTGCCAAAGATACTTTCACAATTTCATGTAATTAAAAGTAAAAACCTAACATCTATTTGTTAGCATACAGAAATACTAATAAGTACATAACAGTACTTGTTTATATAATTTTATATGTTAAAATGTTTTAAATGTTTATATAATTTTATATGTTAAAATGTTTTAAATGTTTATATAATTTTATATGTTAAAATGTTTTAAATGTTTATATAATTTTATATGTTAAAATGTTTTAAATGTTTATATAATTTTATAGGTTAAAATGTTTTAAATGTTTATATAATTTTATATGTTAAAATGTTTTAAATGTTTATACAATTTTATATGTTAAAATGTTTTAAATGTTTATATAATTTTATATGTTAAAATGTTTTAAATGTTTATATAATTTTATATGTTAAAATGTTTTAAATGTTTATATAATTTTATATGTTAAATGTTTTAAATGTTTATATAATTTTATATGTTAAAATGTTTTAAATGTTTATATAATTTTATATGTTAAAATGTTTTAAATGTTTATATAATTTTATATGTTAAAATGTTTTAAATGTTTATATAATTTTATATGTTAAAATTGTAACTGCAAACCTTTTTTGAGCTTCTTGTTTACTACCACACACTTCACAAAAATATTTTTGCTCACTACACAGAGTTTCAGTGAAAGAAAAATTTCTAAAAAATAAATATATATATATATATATATATATATATATATATATATATATATATATATATATATATATATATATATATATATACACATATATATATATATATATATATATATATATATATATATATATATATATATATATATATATATATATATATATATATATATATATAGACACACACACACACACACACACACACACACACACACACACACACACACACACACATATATTCATACATAAATATACACACTACTTTTTTATACATATACACACACTACAGATAAGGAAGCTACTTAATTGTGGTTATATGTATAACCACAATTAAGTAGTTTCCTTATCTTTAGTTGCCTTCTAACTTTGGGGAAGTGAACTATCATTAAAAAAAAAATAATAGAAAAAAAAACGTATATACATATGTATATATATGCATGTATGTATGTATGTATGTATGTATGTATGTATGTATGTATGTATGTATGTATGTATGTATGTATATATATGTATGTATGTATATATGTATGTAGGGGAAAGGTGGGATAGTTGATGCTGGTGGGATACTTAATCCCCATGCAAATTTGGTGCCAAGTGATATTTTATCACTCTTCTGTTGGCACATTTGGGTAGCAGCCTTAATGTTTACCATTTCTTAACTAATGGTCTCTACTTCAGAAAATGTCTAAAATTTTGATAAAATTTTTTCTATTTTGTGATATTTTAACTTTATTTTAAGTGTTCGAAGTAAGTTATAACAACTTTAACTCGTTTAGTTTATGATTATACTGCTCAAATAGGTGAAACCTTTACCCTCTTAACACGATATTCAAATTCCATCTCTTTTAATCTAAAATTCTTATTACAACATTTATAACATTAAAATCACTATAAAAATATATATTTTTAAAATTTTTTTTAAAAACGAATAAAAAAATAAATAAATAATAATAATAATATATTAAAACTATTTAAAAAAAATTACTTGTAGTATTTTAAACAGTAAAGATAAAATGAAGCTTCACAATTAAAAAAAAAGAATCTAGACGATTTTTTTTTAAGTTAAAAAGTTTTTAAAATAATCTTTTTTTATTTTCTACTTCACTAAGATTTTTTATTGAGAAACACAAAATGACATTACAGAGGTTTTCTTAATGGAAACCCTAACCTGGATTGAGAACATCATAAGACAAAAGCTTGGCACAAAGCACAGCATTCAATCATCACACAGTTGGTGAATTTTTTTAAATGAGACTTTTTGCAAACCTGGCCCTGGCAAGATTGTAAGATTTAGCAGAGGTTGGTAGCCAGGGCTAAAAATAAATTTATAATTCTCTATATATTATAATTTTATACTTACATTTACTATTTATTTAATTCTGGCATATATTTATGCCAGTATTTAATAAATAGGGACAGATACTTGTTGAATAAGAAGCCAAACAAGAATGAGTTTTGGTTTATTGTAATAGAGATGATAGCTCATTTGAGCATTGACCATGATTAAAGAAACAGCATAAAAGAGGAAGGCTAAAGCCTGCTACTGCTGCTGATGATGATGACAATAATAATGATGATAATAATGATGGCGATGATGATGATGATGATGACGTTATGATGATGAAGATGATAATGATGATGACAATGATCATCATCATGTTGATCATAATGTTTATAAATGCATATATATACAAAATCAAACATAAATTTTGAAGAAAAAAAAATGTACTTTAGGATGTATAAATGTTTATACAGCCCCGGTCACAAACCCAACCCCAGCTATATTTTACCAAACTAGGCCCTGGTTAAATACCAACCACAATCATTTACTATAACGTATATGGAATATTGATGAAACTGACCTTACTATAGGACACAAGTCTGCTAAAATTATTGCTGCTAGAGAGTTAAAGCAGGTAGGCAAAATTACTGCAGAATGAGACAAACTGATTACGATGTGTACTTGCATAAATTCTGCCACTGGTCACATGCCTCTTTTTATGATTTTCCTAGAAAAAACTGGCAGGATCGGCTTCTAAGCCATGCACCTCGTGACAGCAATGGAACAATATCTCAGTCGATGGATGAACTGTACTAGTTATCTAAGCTTTTTAAGCCTAGAAAGGAAGCATTTAATTATTATGGACAACCATGAGAACCCCTGCTGGAACCAACGTTGTCATGAAATCTTCCACTCAAACATCATATATAATACCTGTGAAACGCCATATTCCAAAGCAGCACCTTATGTCCAATCTTCTTGAAGTAGAAAACAAGAGCGCTCGCGCATCCCCCCTGAAAAAGTAGAAATTGAAGAACTAGCTTGTGTGAAGATAGCTAAGAAAACTGCAAATAAGAAAAAAGAAAAAAAACTTCAAAAACTTAGAAAAAGAGAACTTTTCAATGTAACTGATAAAGAGGATGATATTTTCAGCCATCCAGATATAAGCTGTGGCTTTTTTTTTTTCTTTCATGTCATCAACTCAAAGTTGATGCAGATTTTAAGCCTGACTACATTTTAGTTAAGTTTGCTACCTAAAAATTGTCAACTTTTACGTTGGAAATGTTTTGTCTTAAACAAAAAACCCTGAAAATTAAACTCTTGAAAAGGACAGCACTAGTGGGAAGCTGTTTCACTTTTCCAACAGTAGAGGACATCAAAGAAGTGGACCGGGCTTACATACAAAAGATGCTACAGCCATCCACCAGCAGAATAACCAGGACTGCTGGCATTATAAAATTTAAAAATAAATTTGATGCTAACGTTTTATAAAAAAACATTGTTTTTTTTTGGGTCAATTTATTTCTATATTTTATTTCTTTGTTTAATAAAGTAGGTAGTCCAGTTTGTATCATTGATTGATTTAATTACTTATGTTATTTTGATGGCTGGGATACTTTATATATGGGAAATCAAGAATCCCACTTGTGAGAGACAAGTATCCAGGGACACTTGATCCCTGCAAGTGGGCTATAAAAACGGATCTATTATTTGTTCTGAATGAAAAAGTTTTCACATAAACAGCCTATAGAAGGAGATCAATGACATTATTAAACTGTGTAAAGAAACCAACAGTAAAAATCTACGAAAACATATTCCCCTACATATATATTTTAATGACAACTTAGTAGTATGAAAATATTTATGTATATAAAAAAATACATCATTTATGGTAAAATTATTTAAGTTATTAAAATTTTTTCTTTTCATTTTAATTAAAATTTTTTCTTTTCATTTTAATTAAAATTTTTTCTTTTCGTTTTAATTAAAATTTTAACTTTAACAAAAATTTTAATTTTTTGACTATACTTTTTGTATAGTTTAAATCATTTTCAAAAATAAAATTTATACATAAATTCGTTCTTTACAATGATACCAGCACTATGTAATATTATAGAAATTTTTTATACTTAACCAAATGCTTCCAATGGCGAGTCATCATTTGTCATCATCTTAATTTAAAATCATTTTAGAGTAGCCTTTATTGTCTATTAACATTTAATAAATAGTTAATATTGTCTAGTAATATCTTTTAAAACAAAGAAACTGCATTTAAGACTTGGTTGACATTTGTTTGGATGGTTTGTAATGTTTAACAATGTTTAGAATTTGTTGCTGAGAATATCTATTTTCTATAAAAATATTTATGAGGAATTAAATTTTTTTTCTATATTACTAATAAAAAAAACAAAAAACTTTAAATATTCTTTTTGTGATTTATGATAGTAATAATATTATTACTATCATAAATCACATATCATAAAAACCATAGATGTCATAACCATAGATAAATCAAAATATAATAATATTAGTAATATTAGTTGAGTTGCAAATAGGTAACTTTTTCCTATTAAAGTCATAAAATAACAATTGACTAAAATAACAAGTTGATGCATAAAAGTGATCAGAATATAAATTGGCTGCTTATTCTAAGTAATCAAATAACATTTTGTCAAGACAAGGTATAAAGTTGAGATGTCAGCAAACAGTACCACTTTAGATGTAAGATTGTCAAAAAGATTGCTATTGTAGATAAGAAACAATACAGGTAGAACATTGCAGTTGTAACCAGTCTCATTTCGAGTAACCCTTAAAGTTACTGATAATAAAGAAGAGTGAAAGTTTTTGAAAATGACTTAAATACTGTGGCTAAAAAGAAATAATTCAATAATTTTAAAACCTTTATCTAAAAAAAACTAATAATAGAGAAAAGACTAATAGAATAGCTGGTCAGTGTGCTTTAGAGTTGTGCAGTAGAGTTTTTAAAAGTTGTGACCACTTATTAATAGTTTAGCGAGAATTGAAGAGAATTCTGGAGAACGCTTTTGTGAGACTATTCTGGAAATATTGTGTGGGCCACAAGCCATAGAAATGGTTAACAGAGAATTGACTTAAGCATCAGAGGCTAAAGTTTTGGATGTCTAACAAGGGTAATCTGTTTAACTGGAATGGCAGGAAGAATATGGCCATTCAATTCAATTAGAGGAAATAATTAAGATCTAACTCATGAATTAGAGATAGCGTTAGATTTACTTTAATTAATGTGACTGTTAAAGATTTTCCAAATCTCAAGAACCTAACATCTGAGATAATCAAGCTTAACATTAGACAGGACTTTTTTCACTGATAATAAAAAGACATTAACTCTCAAGAGAGATGTTTTTGTAAAAATGATGAAAAAAAGAATATTTTAATTATAGTTTAATATAGCAACTGCACAAGAAGGTGAAAAACATGGAGTTTGACTTAAAACAGACAAGAAGATTAATAAAAACTTAAATACTTGCTTGAATCCAGGAGGTTAGGTAAGAGGCATATTTATGCATACAAAAGGATACAAAGATATGTGTGCTATTTATTTAGATGCTTGCAATATCTTTACATATTTATATATTTAGTACTTATATGGTTTAGTGTTTGCCTAAAGAAAAGATGATTAGATGGTTGTGCGGTATGACTCTAACAAGACAAGAAAAGGAGTCTTAATCTGAGACAGAGAATAGAAAAAACATTTTATTTAACAATGTTTGTCAGAGAAGCTTAAAGTGGTTTTGGTATCAGCATGTAG